GCTTCTGTCTCTCTTAGCTCTTAGCTGAACACAAACTCCTCCCCCCGCTTATGCTGTGTTGCTTAGTTTGGGGGTCAGCCGTCACAAGCCAGAGTCACCTGAGAAGAGGGAACCCCAATTAATGAAATGCCTCCATCAGACTGGACTGAAAGGCAAGACTGTGGGACATTATATTTTTCCTTATTTTTTTTCTTAGACTCTTTTATTTTTTAGATGTATGAGTGTTTTGCTGTGTTTTATGTATGCACACCATGTGCAAGCATGATGCACACACAGACCAGAAGAGGGCATCAGAGCCCCTGAAGCTGGAGTCACAGATGGTTGTGAGCCACCATGTGGGTGCAGGAAACTGAACTCTGGTCCTCTGTATGAGCAACAAGTGCTTTTAAACACTGAACCATCTTTCTAGCCGATGATGATGGTGGTGGTGGTGGTGATGGTGACAGTGATGATGATGGTGATGATGACAATGATGAATTTTATGTAGCCCTGACTAGCCTGGAAATCTCTTATTTAGACCAGGCTGGCTCTGAGGTCTAAGTAAGAGATTTCCAGGCTAGTCAGGAAATCTCCATTTGCCTCTACATCCCAAGTGCTAGGACTGCAGGCATGAGCCACCACATCTGGCCTCTATTTTCTTGATTAACGATGGATTAGCCCAGCTCACTGTGTGCAGTGCCATCCCTGGGTCCTGGGTTGTAAAGCAAGCAATCCAGGGAGCAGCATTCCTGCAGGGCACTGCTTCAGTTCCTGCCTCCAGGTTCCTGCCTCCAGGTTCCTGCCTCCAGGTTCCTGCCTCCAGCTTCCTGCCTCCAGCTTCCTGCCTCCAGCTTCCTGCCTCCAGGTTCCTGCCTCCAGGTTCCTGCCTCCAGGTTCCTGCCTTGGTTCCAATGATGATGGACTGCAAGCCGTCAACCAAACACACTCTTCCTTCTTTCAGGGATTTTGGTCACAGTGTTTATCACAGCAACGGAAACTGAACTAAGCCATGATCCTTCTTCACCTCTCCACTGAGGCACAGAGCCCTGATGCCTGTACTTTGGGTTCAGGGGAGGAAAGGCCCCAGATTTTCCATAGTGAGGGGCTCCCTGTGGTTGATGTACCAGTACAGCCCTTTGCATCACCAGAAACTTGACCATGTAACTTACACACACATTGCACCCACCATGCCAGGAGAGAGGCCACATGGCATCCACACCCCACAGCCAGGGAATCATCGGTCCTGAAAACCAAGGGACTGGTTCAACAACAAAAGCCCACTAAGTGGAGGGGCTAGGATTTGAACTCAAGCCCCAGGCTCTTCCTTGTCATTCCCCTGACTTCCCACGCTAGGTTTGGTGCTCCTGTTGACTTCCCTTGACTCTCTCCATTGGAACGAGCCCCACACGATCCTCCTCTAGCTCCCTGCACATCTTTGCCCTCAATCTAGAAACCGCCCCGTGTGGTGGGTGATGCATATGTCTCACGCATGTGGCCTTGGATGGGCCAGTGAACCTGTGGCCCAGCTTCTGTGTCTTTTGAAGTGAAGGTGGCTGGCTTACCTGGGAAACTGACATTTTCCTCCGCCCCATGGCCCCCCTCACCGCTGGGGACAGCTTGAGCCAGTGACTAACAACTGACCTGGTGCTGAGCTGACTCGCTTGGGCCTCTGGGGGGTGTGACTCTGAGATGTAGCCCCCTGGACTAGTCGAGGTTGGTCCCAGCCTTGCTCAGTGCCCTGTGTAAGCCTCTCCTGCACCCTTGTCCAGGCAGCCCTCCTTCCACGAACTGAGACCCGAGGCAATCCCTTTCCTGCTCAGGTGCCAACTGAGATTGGCTTGGTTGACCCCACTTATCATCATGACCCCCGGAGAAGCTCTGATCAGATCCTAACCACCCCTCGCTCCAGCTATGTTACACACAGCACTCCTTCTGTGCCAAGGAGATCAGCTGGACTGTGTTCTGCCCCCGACCGGCATGTAGCCCAAATCCCAAAACACAACAGGAGTTTACTAGCTGTTTGTTGAATGAATACAGGAACAGATGTCTGAGGGCTGTCTGTCTTCCCAAGAGTCTGCCTTTCTCAGGTACTATCAGGGTCTCTTCCCACTTCAAGGTCACTGCTGTCCTCACCTGCCTGATAGCCTCATCTGCCATGTCCCCCCTGGCTGGCCTGGGACTTGTCAGTTGCCTGGTTACCATAGGGGGGTCACCAGGGGAACCTCAGGACCCTTCAAATGGGGACTGAGATAGCAAGACCTCCCTCCGTCTCTCAGGCTTCTTCTGGAACATTGGACTCCTAATCCGTGTTCCTAGAATTTTGTTTGGGCAAAAGTTTTCCATGTCTGCCTGCAATGTACAAATAGCTCTTCACTGTTTTCTGCAGGCCCCACCCACTCCCTTAACGCTGCCCACACCTTCCATCACCAGCTCTAGGACAAGAGAGTGTTCATATACAGGCGTGGCAGAGCCCGCCCATCATCCCGGCATAGGGAGGGAGGAGGCAGGCCCTGTCTCAGAAAACCAGGGGCTTAGGTTGGCCATGCTCTAGGCGATTCCCCCACACCCATGAGGACACAGGCAGTGCAGACTAGACTTGGTGGGTTATTAAAAAAAAAAAAAAGAATGACATGAAGTTGGGAAGGGGTGAGGGTGAATATGATCAAAATACATTGTGTGCATGTATGAAATTTTTAAACAGTTAATAAAAACATTAAAAAACAAACAAATGAACCAAGAGGGCAGGGGCTGTAGTTTAGTGGGAGAATTTGCCTAGCATTCAAGATCCAGAGTTCCATTCCCAGCATGGCGAACTAAATAACACCAGGAAAGAAAATTGCTTATGTCCCGCTGAAGAGTTTTAAGGTGTGGGTCCCTGGGTCACTAGACAGCAGGTGGGAAGGGGCTCAGGGAGCTATTGGAGGATGGGGGGAGGGGCCCGAGTAGGTGAGTCATTTCATGTGCTACACGAGGTGGTGTCCAGCTTGTGGGAACACTAAATGCTCCTTCTCTTTAATGAGTGACCTAAGCGGATGCCTTGGGCAGGCTTAAGCAGCAAGTCAAACAATCAGACTCTCCCTTGGAAAACGGCAGTTAAGCCATGGGCACACGTGGAACGTCACCTTGTCACCTTGTCCCCGGGGGTGGGGGTGGGGGGTGGATATTTTCAAAATGCTAAAAGATCTATTATGTCATGAACTGAATTCTGGGCGCTGGCCAGAGCCACTGATTCCCAGAGGACCCTGGGGACATTCTGATGGGTGCTGCAAGGGGACCCCAAGAAGGGACTTCAATCTGCTTTAGCATCTTCCAGACTGGACATGGGTGTCCTGCTGCAGACAGTGGGGAGAGAGGAGGGACTATGGAGTCTCGAGTTCGGATGCCTTGGTGTGTCTGCACCAGTGAGCACAGAATTTGGCTCACTTAATGAACACTGCCCAGTGCAGAGTGGGCTGTGGGAATGAAGGCCTCCGTGGCAGAGGACTTACGGGGGAAGCTACCTTGTCATTCGGTCCCGAGAGCAAATGTTTCTCTGTAAAGCGTTTGTGACCTGACTGAGGTCTTGGCTCACTACTGTATCCCTGTGTCAGGCCCAGGTCCTGGGTGGGAGGAGGCTGCGGAGGACCTTCCATGGGGGAAATGAACTAGGGTCAGTATTTCCCAGAAAGCAATGGGGCTTCTCTGTGGTTAGTCCTCCTCTTCTGCTTGCCTCAGACTCACAGACATGGGGTACTAATCACCAGCTGGATAGGAGCCTGGGAGACAGAGCCGGCTAAGTCCCAAGATGAACACACAATGGGGGGGCAGCGGTGCAGCTACCGGCCAGTGAACTCATAGGGTGCTGCATCCCCCAGGACTCACCCCCTCCCGCCCCCTACAAAAGGACAACACTAGACAGAGCAGCCTCAGTAACCAAAGCCTCCAAAGTGCAACACGAAAGACAGACACTTCATAGTGCCCTGCTAGTCACAGGGGTGACCCGTCCTTCCTTCTTAGCCTACCCATCAGAGCCACTCTCCGAGATGCATGTGACAGACACTATATAGGAAATGCACGCCAAGGGACCTGGACCCTGAGGACGGTGGAGCTTGATGTAAGTTGGCTGTGTGAATACAGAAATGGGCAGCCAAGGGCATGCCTGTAGTTCCAGCATGTAGACAGCTGCCTCTACTTTCCTAGGTCCTACCCAGGTGTTCTCCAACTTTAGAACCACCACTGGGAGTAGTGACAGGTGGTGCCACTCGAGAAGACCCTCCCATGGCTACAGAAACCTCTCCCAGCCAGGAGCTGAGGCGCCATAGACCCAGCCCAGGGACCAATCACGAGTCGCCTCACATCGGGCAGGTCTCAGTTGCACCCTCCCTGGAGTCTGTCCCACGGGCAGGCAGCTGCCCCATACACTGCCCCTCTAGGGGAGCAACTTCCCATGGGGGAGTTAGGAAGCAGTCCAGACCCCGCCAAGCTGAACCAGTGGCCCTAGAAGCAGGTGCAGGGTCAGGGCCTGGCTTGGCCTTCTGTGCCCCGGGACACATGGCATCTGGAGCCGTAGCCTCCCCCTGAAGAGCAGCTTTGGTACAGCCACCTCTCCAGCTCCCCTGTGGGGCCACCCCCCAGCATGGGCTCTGGAGCCAGCAGGTTGGAGGAACACAGCTCTAGATGCCCACCCAAGCTGACTCGGAGACAGCCTTCCCTGGGGTGTCCAGGACAGAGGCAGGAACTCCTCCAAATAGCCTCCGTCTCAGCTAGTCCCTCATCCACCCTTCATGCCTCCTCCAGAGGCAGCGTGGGGGTGCCCTCTGCGACTGCATGACTCAAGGAAGGACACTGGATGGCATATGGGTCCCCTGGGGTCTCCTTGAGGTGAGGCTGAGGAGAAGGGGGTCCAAGGTGCTGGGAGGCCCGGGAAGGCCTCCAGACAAAAACTCTGCTGGAGGAGGAGCCCCCTCCCCTGATGCCCAGTGCCCACACGCACACCCAGCTTCCCTACCACCCAGGGGACAGAGTCCCCACCCGCTACTCACGGGCTCCTGCGAGGCCTCCCCCTGGCATGGTGGTGTCGCCCCTCAGTCCATGCTCCCCATCTGGAGAGACTGCCGCTCTAATCAGCAGCCCTGCGTGGTGCGGCCGAGCGACTCAGGGCCTTAATTGACACCAGGTGGCCCCTCCCCAGGGGCAGGCTGGGAGGCGGCTCAGCACGAGGCCCAGAGGCCAAGCCCTGGGCAGGGGGGGTGCACCCAGGCTCAGCATGCTCAGGCTTCCCCTGGATAGTGGAGAGAGGTAAGGGTGGCTAGCCAGCCCCCGGGCAGCCCTCCCTGCATCGTGCCAACTCTGCTTCCCTAGACTCTGACCTTTCTTTCATTCCAGAGGCTGTGGTGGCTGTGGCAGCTTCTGCCAGGGACGGAGGTGGCTCAGGTTTCCCCCAGCTGGCTGGGATGGCCTGGAGTCAGGACTGCAGCCATGGGTCTTCTGTACCTAGGCCTTGCCTGCTGGATCTGAATATGGCCCTTCACAGTGCCACCCTGGAAGCTTTAAGTGAGCATTTATTATGTGCCAGGGTGGATGCCTGCGCTGCCCCCAGACAAATCTCACAAGCTCCACAAGACAGCTATTTGTAGATAAAGCTACTGAGGCTCAAAGTTTCTTCTCCCAAGTCACACAGCAGGAGAGTCACCGTGCGCCTCACTCAGCCCTGACACTGAGTGACACATGACTTCTCACCATGCCATTTGCAAAGTAGATGACATCAGGCCCCTTGTTTGAGTCAGGACAACTGAGGCTCCAGGACAGGAAGCCAGTTCTAAAAGACACACAGCCAAGTAAGAAATAACAGCCTGCCACTAGGTATGTGGAGTCAGGTTGCTGAGGCCTTCTCTCCTGGCCCACCTGTGCCCCAGCTGATCTAAGGGTTCCAGTGTGCAGCCCCAGCAGGGGATGTGCCAGAAAGAGCACTGGACATGGAGTCAGGAGACCTGTGTGACCTCAAGCAGGTACCTCTACCTCTCTGGGCTTTGCCGCAGCTGTAGTGAACAACAGCTGAGATGAGCCTGGGATTGGAGAGTGGAAAAGTGTGGTGTCATCCTCCATCCCCCCCACTCCCCCGCCCCCACCTTCCCCGAGGCCCTGGCGCTGCTCCTCCTCCTCACTGCTGGGGAGTGGGACCCAGAGGTAGGAATGCACAGGCCTCCTGGAGAATTCCTGGGGAATCTTGCCTCCCTGCCTGAGCAATGAGAGAATAAATAAATAAATGTCCCGTACCTGCCTCTGGGTAATGGTATTCATTGAAGACCTACTGTGTGCAGGGATATAAGGGCAGATGTAAGCGGTGCCTATCTGGTAGAGATGGAAATGAAGGTGTGATCTTTTCAAATGTCTTATTAGTGTATGTTAATGGTAAAAGGTGTTGTTTATGCCACGCACCTGACGAATTGAGGCAGCTCTTATTGTGTCTTTATTTAATAAAAGAACTTTTGGAGTGCCTACTGTGTGTTGGGCATTATCCCAGGTGCTGGGGCTGCAGCAGCTGATGGGCCCGCATCCCTTTGGATGATTGAATAATTACTGTATCATTATCCTCAGGCAAGACAGGTTTCCCCACACGTGGTTGAATAACACGCCCGTCTGCGGTGGTCTGCCCCCCTCGGGAGCTCCAAAGTGGAGTGTGGGATTCTAGAATGTTCTTAGGCCTAATCCTCAGGGCAGCTTACGGACTCATTTTGGCCCTGATTGGCGGGCACCCTGGCTGGTAGCTCATACCCCTGGCGCACACCCAGCCTCCACGTGGGGCTGGGGAAGATGAGCCGTGACTCAGGCTGCCTGACTTGTCAGGTGAGACACGAAGGGAGCAGACAGCTGGCTGGGCTGTCGGCCATGAGGCCTCCGGAGCCAGGTCCCGAGGCAGGTGACCGGGTACGGGCCGGCCGAGACCTAAAGATGACAAAGCACTGAGCTCAGATGACTGATGGTGGGGCCACCAGCAAACGAATTCTAGTAAGAATCGTGAGGCAGGCTGCCGGGTGAGCGGATGAGTTCCCCGTCCATCTACGGATTCCAGAAATTGGGAGAGATTCCAAAAAAACTAGTTGGACCTCTCTGTGCCTTTCTCCGGAATTGATCTCAGACATCAACTGACGACATCTTCAGAGTCGTCGCCCACACTGGGGCAGGAGGTTCGCTGCCCCTCCCCAGCTCTCCCCTCTCCGGGCAGCCCTAAGCCAGAGCTCTGTTTTTGTTTTTGTTTTTCTTCCCCACAGGACTTCCCCACATGTAGGCCTGGCACATGGTAGGTGCTCAGCAAATATCTTGTATTAAGAACAGACTGTTGAAACTTTCGCTTCCAGTGTTCCTTTCAGCTTGAAGCGAGCGTGACCCAGGTGAGCAGTCATCCTGTCATTCATACACTTGTTCTCAGTTCCACAGAATCGTTCCAACCCCGGTGAAGCCCCTCTGGGAAGCCACACTTTCATAATGCCCCACCCCCGCGTGTGTGTGCATGCGTGTGTGTGTGTGTGTGTGTGTGTGTGTGTGTGTGTGTGTGTGTGTGTCTGTGTGTCTGTGTCTGTGTGTCTGTATGTGTATACACGTGTGCGCGCATGCGCAGTATCTGCAGAGTCCAGAAGACGATGGATGTCGGCTCCCCCTGGAAATGGAGCTGCGAGCTGCTGGGAGCTCCCTGACATGGATGCTGGAAACTGAACCTGTGTCCTCTGGAAAAGCAGCCAGTGCTCTAAACCACTGAGCCCTCTCTCCAGCCTCGTGATGGTTATTTTGTTTGTGTGTGTTTGAGTTATTTTTAATTCTGTTATTTTTTTTTTTTTTGAGACAAGGTCTCATGTAGCCCAGGATGTCCTCCAATTCACCTTATGGCCCAGGATGACCTTGAACTTCTGCTCTCCGTCCTGAGAGCTGGGATTACAGGTGTGCATCACCACAGCGGCTCCAGGGTGGCACTTTTGACTAGGTAATCGTCACAGGTGTTAATGACAGTCATGGTGACAGCCTTGGCCCTGCATCCACATAGGAGCAGGAACTTGCCAATTGCTTCCACATCTGTATTGGGAGGAAAAAAGTCCAAGAGCTGCTTGCTCCAAACCCAGGTTCCCCATCCTCTTGGTGCGCTGGGCAGGTGGAGCCTGGACGCTCCACTCCAAGGCTGGGATCGTAGCTAGGGAGCTGCTGGGGAGCTGGGGAGCTGCTGGGGAGCCGGGAGCCAGTGATACATATCGCCTGCCTGAACTCTCATCTGTTACACAGTTAGTTCTAATCTGAGCCTCCAGCAGAGTGAGGTCGATTCTGTTACATACTGGCAGCCACAGACACACCCAGAACCATCCCGAAGGGGTAAAGGAGGCAAAGCTGGTTAAGGCGGAGCCAGAACAGCAGCATACCTGTGATGACAGCACTCTGAGGCAGGAGGGTGCCGAGTTTGAGGCCAGCCTGGGCTTACAGAGTTCCAGGAGGCTGGTGTGGGTTACAGAGTGAGAGAGCCTACATGGAAAAAATAAAATAAAAAGATAAATAAATTATGGCAATGTACTTTAACCCAGTATCCAAAAAAAAAAAAAAAAAAGGCTTGAGCCAAAATGTAATTGGTATAAAAATTATCAACAAATGATTTTATTTACTCTATTGTATTTTGTCTTTGAGACAGGGTCTTAACTATGCAATCCAGGCTGGTATGAAACTCAGAGATCCACCTACCTCTGCTTCTAGAATTAAAGCCTTGTGCCACCCACCACACCTGGCATTATTTAATTTTTTTGATGACGGTCTCATATGGCCAGGGATGGCTTTACAACTATATGTAGTCATGGATGACATGTATGGAGTAATACAGATCTCGAAAGTTCTCATGACTGAGGGAATGAGCAGAGGAGGCTGTCCTCCACTCCATGGTCAGGTGTCCCTGAACCCAGGGACACCAGGGTGGCACATGTACTGTCATTTCTGATACCTTACCTCTCTCATAACACTAGCATGCTGGGCCAGATGGCCACAGTACACTCAGTGTCCTGCTGAGATACAGGCCTTCTCTCCTGGCCCATGTGTATCCCTACTTATCATAGGTTCCAAGTTTGACCACAGATTGAGTTTTAGGAGAAAGAATGCTGGGCATTGAATTGGGAGTCTTGTGTGACCTCCATCAAGTCCCTCCAGCTCTCCGGGTTTTGTGAGGTGCCATGACTGTCAAAGGGAAATCTCCCGTGGCAAAAGTCTTCGTGACTGGGACTCACAGGGTATGGCTAGGTAGTCTCAGAGTGGCTGTTTCCTGGGAAGCTCCCCACATTGGCCCACATGTTTCCTGGGGGTGGGACTCATGGCTGCCCCAGGAGCCAGAGGCTTAGGACTCAGAACTGGCTGGAACCAGAGTTGTGGGGGCCCCAAACGCGGCTTGGTCACAACAGCTTGAATGTCTTTGTACCTTAATTTCTTCAGTTGTAAGTTGGGAATGGCCCCACCCTAGTCTGAAGCAGTACTATTCAGCAAGACTTGGTCCCAGGGTAGCAAGTGACTGTCTAGCTTCAGAATGTTATGGTGGGGCGGGGTGGGGTGGGGGGGGGGGTGAGGTGTGAATGGCTGGCGCACAGCGGCAGAACCTGGTGACCAGCTTCTTGGCTAGCGGATCTATGAAGATGGTTTGCAGAAGTTGCCCCGAGTCCTCAGCAAAATGCTGACAGTGATGGAGGACACTCCCAAGGCAAGGGCAGACAGTACCATATGAAAGAGTGAAAGGAAACGGTACTTTGTTCAGAATGGGAAAAACCTCAGAATCCTCCGAGCACATCATAGAGGCTATGGAAAGGTCCTGCCTGTGGAGTGGGGAATAGGGTTCCCTGAATTACACATAGCTCTGGTTCTACCTATAGTGGTGAAGACTGCAGTTTGGGGGCTGGGGTAAAGATAGGGGAGCCCCAGAACAAGCTAGCTGACCACACTAGCCGAATGGGCAAACTTCAGGTTCAGTGGGAGACCCTGCCTCAAAAAGTAAGGTGGAGAAAGATGGAGGAAAACATTCAGATATTCAGTGTCAATACCTGGCCTACACACGTGTGTGTTTCCACCACATCTGTGAGTGTGAGCATGGGGACCGCTGTGTCCACACCATCTTCATCTTTCCAGAGAAGCCCATCTGCGGCTCCCTAAGTGGATGTCACCAGCCTGCACCACGGTGGGCTTTGCAACCACTCTGTGAAAGGCTGGGTTTTCTGACCAGTGCTGGCCAGTGGAGTGTTGGTGGATGTGGTTAGAGGCAACAGTCTGCATGTGTTTTCTGGTCTGGCTTTCATGTCTATATGAACACAAATGGAATAACCTTCAATCTGACTTGGGCCTGACCAGAAGCCTCCCAGGAGCCTCTCAGAGGAGCCTAACCTAGACTTACAGCCCCAGGTGCATCAAGATAAATCCTCATTGTTGTAAGCTGTGGATTTAGGTTTTTTGTTACACAGCATCATCCGGGAAGTTAGCAACCACTGTTACCCCCCTCAGGCTTCCTTCCATACAGCAGACAACAGCAGAATTCAGACCTTTAGTGACAGCAGCTGACGCAGTAAGTCTCAAATTCTTTATTGGCATAAATAGCTCAGACATTGGATTCTCACTAAACATTGCACTAGACACAAGAAACAACAGGCTCACTGGCTCATAGGCTCACAGACTGTCCAACAGCCCAGGTTAGAAATACTTTTTTGAGAAGTGTAGAAAACTTTATAAATGATCTGTACAAATATACACAGTGGACCATCCACCCACCCATCTGCCCATCCATCCATGTATCCACCCATCCATCCAGCTACCTACCCACCTGCCTATCCACCCACCCACTCACCCACCTCTCATCCAACCACCAATCAACCCATTCATCCATCCTCTCCATCCATCCATCCATCCATCCATCCATCCATCCATCCACTCAGCCATCCATCTACCCATCTACCCATCTTCCTACCCACTCATCCACCCACTCACCCATCCACACATCCATCAATTTTACCATCCACCCATCCATCTACCCCTCCACTGACCTGTCCATCCATCCATCCATCCATCCATCCATCCATCCATCCATCCATCCTTCTATTCATTTACTCTTCTGTTCATCCACCTACTTGCATGCCCATCCACTCACATATCCACATATCCACCAATACATCAATCTACCCACCCATTCATCTGTCCATCCATCTATCTATCCATCCATCCACTCACCCATCCACTCATTGATCCATCTACCCATTCACCCATTCTGCTTGTTTTCTTGGATGGCAACTAAATCAAATATTCTTTCCCAGCAACATGTTGGCAACAAGTGAAAGAGACAGAGAGTAAGACAGAGAGGGGAAGAAAGAGACAGTGGTCCAGAAGGAAATGGGAAACCAAGGTCATACATCAGCTCACCCTGCAACAGTCAGTACAGACAGACATGGAGAAAACAGTGTGGGCCTGAGGTCCGCGGAGGGCTGTACAAGAATTAGTCTTTATATATATACACATATATAATATATATAGCATTTATAGGTATATATACTTTGTGTTTAGAAAAAGGCAACAGAATAATTTACAAAGAAAGCCTTTTTTACAATGAGGGATTTTCCTCAAGTTGGTGACTTGGAGAGCTGTCCACCTGTTGGGACATATGACAGAGGAGTCTATAGAGCAGACCGCCAAGAAAAGATCAAAAGATGGAGGAACAACAGGTCTGGAGTGGGAACCTGGGCTGTAGAGTCTGGCCTGCTATGGCAAGGCTGCTTGCCTGTGGAGCCAGACTTGTGTGCCCCCGATGATGGCCTTGGCTTTGATCTTGGGGCTGTGGAACAGGAGGAAAAGCTTCCTGCTTCTACCAAGGTCAGGGGATGGTCTTTCTGGAGACCTCTCAGTTCCCCCTGTACCTGGAAGTTGTTCCAAGCTATTCCTTAGGAGACCCAGATGTCCCTGTTCACAGTCCCCAGGACATCAGCATCTAAATGGGTAGGAGACACCCACTGCCTCTTTATTTCACCTGCCTGTGCCCAGCGATATCCTGAGAGGTACACTTTGGGGTGAGGCATTCAGTCGGGTGCCAAGATGTCAGAGACTGGGATGCTATGGAGCCACTATTAATGGCAGCCACCCACATGGGGACCAGCAACAGATCAAGCGCTAAGGGTTTCACAAAGCTAAGAAAGTCCAAAGTATGCTCCAGCAGAGCCAAGGACGCTGAGAACTTGTTGGTGAAGCCACAGTTAGCCAGAGGAAGTAGAGAACTGTGAGTTGAATCAAGTTGAAGCAGATCTGAGTGCCCCATTCATTTACAGGTCCCACCCCAGGGAGTTCTATAGTTGGTCAAGGCGCTGTTTACCATGCCTCAAGCCCACACAGATACTTAGAGGAACGGAAGAAACCCCACCCTACCAACAAAGCTAATGCAGTCTCTCCTACACTTTAGGCCCCATTACACATTCAGTCTGGGACTCTCTTTGACCCCTGGGTTATTGTCAGCTTCTTCAATAACAAATCAGGGCTTTGCCCAACACATTCATTATTTCTCTAGAGAATTATGTAGGGTGTGGGTATCTTTCCGCCAACATGTCTCCATGTTCCTGCGTGTCTCTGATGTCAGTACTCCAGTGGCCCATGCTTAGAGTGAAGCGCAATGCCGAGAGAGAGAGAGAGAGAGAGAGAGAGAGAGAGAGAGAGAGAGAGAGAGAGAGAGAGAAACTATGGCAAGACTATCTGGTGGGGCTTTCCAGTGTGTCCATATGGGTCTGGGGGTCAGGAGGCTGACACATCAGAGCTCTGTATGAGAGGTGGTGGGACAGCATGGGTAAGAAACAGGAGCAGACAAGAGCAGGCTTTCAGGAGGAGGGCTGGTGCCTGGCCTGTGTACAGTAGAGACATCCACAGATTGTCAATGTCCCACCCTGGGCAGGGTGAGGATGCGGCTTGTTGACCCTCATGGAGCAGAGTCCCAGTGACCCAGCTTCCTTCCCACGAGGCACTCAGCCATGTGTGTCAAATTCCAAAGTGCTCACCAAACTCCAGTCTCTTGCAATGTCTACCATCCCCTCCTCCAGTTCTGAGCCACTGGGTACCCTGGATCTGATTAAAGGCATGGTACAGAGAACTTTCCATCAGCCACACCCAGATCAGGGACAGGGCAGTCACATTCTATCATGCTGTTTAGTGGCTGTTTCTCCACCAGGGACAGGAGGATCAAGGGTTTGAGGCTAGCCTGGGCTATAACAGGAACCCAAGAATTGACTGAGTCCAAGGTCAACAGCACCGAGATTGATAGACTTCTAATTCGGCCAGTCTGCCCTTCCTGCCTCCTCCTCTTCCTTCAGACCTCAGCTTCATGGACTACTGCCCACACTTGTGTGCATTTATGGCCCCTGCAGGTTCCCGCAGCCTTCTGTACATCACAGACATCTATTTTCATGATTGGATGTTTCTTGGGCATTGCCTGTCACTGGATAGAGTTACCTCTTACATCCCGAACCTAGCATTTCTCACATCCTGGTACCTGCGGTGGGTTATCGAGAGAAGTCAAGGCATTTTAAGATGTGAAGAAATAGCCAAGCTGGGATTTTTTTCCCTTCAAATTAGTAGAAAAGGAAAACTAAGCTTTGGTTTGAATCACCAGACTTTCAAATCTAAGGATCTACAATGCAAATATCACAGAGTCACAAACAATGGCTACCAGCTGCATGGAACGGGACATCACTCTCCAGATTCCATTTAAGCTAAGTACACAATGGCTAGTTTTCATTCTTCCTCAGCACGTGGGCAAGAGATGGGATCAGGCAGGAGGTGAAGAGTGGCCCATGCAAGGTCCTATTGGTCACCAAATTGGTTATCAGCAGCATTTGAAGAGTTCAGGCGTAGAGTGAGTTTCGGGTCCATGAGAACCTCAGAGGCCACTGGGTGAAAACTCGATGTTGGGCCTTGCATACAGGCAAGAGATGAAAAAGCATTTAGGGTCAGATTCCTTTTTCCCAACACCTTATGCCACATATCCTGACTTCCCTGGCTGAACTTCAGAACTCCTTCCTGCTTCTGGGCCTGCTACCGTGTGTGCAGCCATATTTCCAGGTGTCCATCTTTGTGGCCATACAGTCCAGCTGTTTCGTGGCAGGGAAGCTGTCCCAGAGAATAAATGATTCTCTCTAAGCAGCAAGCAGTTTACTAAATGGTACCAGCTACAGGGTTACCTGGAAAGAATCCTTTCCTAGCTTGCCAAATTCCCTAATTAGAAAGTAACTCCTATACAGTTCCAAGCAGACTATCCACTAAGGAGAGCCCCCAAGTGGCTGGGTTTCTGAAAAACTCTGAGGCGTGAGTTCTAAAGCCACTATTGGTTATTAGAAGGGGCTTTCTGGGGGACCTATCTTCCCTTCTCAGCACATTTGGGGCTTACCTGGCTAATGTTCTATGGCTGCAGTTGGAAGGTGTGCTGAGATTGATTAGCAATGTCTGCCAAGGGTAGAGGAAGGGGCGGCAATGGTAGGAACATTACACATTCACCCTCCTTGGTCTAGATATTCATCCTTCTAGACCTTTTATACACAGATCTTTCTAAATCCTCATCCCAGTGACCTTATTGTTACTTCTGCATTGCCCGCTCTGACTATGCATGTGCTGAAAGCCTATGACTATCGGGACTCAAGGATGGGGCATGTCTGTCATAAGTAGGATTGAGAAGTAGCCCATGGATTCTGGGAAATCTCTCTCTGGAGGACCCAGGGTTTGCCACAAAGGAGCCAAGATGACACTGCTTACAGAGGACAGTCACTGAGAGAACGCTAGGGTTTGAGTTGTGTCCCAGGGCCTCAGAACAGGCCCCGGTTGGAAACAGGGTCATGAAGGTGTGTTACTTCCGATGAGATCACACTTGAGTAAAGGGATGTGATGGGCAATCTTGATTGTGTCACCTTGACAGAATTAAGAAATGCTTTTCAAGGGATCGGCAAAGCACCTCTGGGTGTCTATGATGTAGTTTCTGGAGACAGTTTGATACCGATGACCTAACCTACAATGAGACCCTGGATGGAGTCACAATGTGATGCCCCAAGGCAGGAGGTAGGTCCTAGCTGGACGAAGTAGGCCAGTGGGGACATGGCCACGAGACATCTCACCCTAACTCCTCTCTGTGCTGCTTGTTCTCTCTCTCTGCTTCCTATTTACCACAAAGAACATGCTCTCCCTCCTCGCCTTCACACCACCATCACATTCTGCCTCAAGACAGGTCTGGGAACACAGAGCCAGACAATGATGAACTGGGTCCTCTGAAACTGTGAGCCAAAAAAATATATATATAACTCCTCCCTTGCATTGGTTCTCTCAGGCATTTGGTTAGAGTCACAAGAATAATAACCCATACACTGTGTCCTGATTCAACAGGACTGGGTCCACATAAAAAGAGCCACACGAAGACAAAGATGGAAGGAGCCCCGTGTGGCTGGTGGAGACAAAGACAGAGATTGGAGAGATGCTCCCACAAGCCAAGCAATGTTGGCGTTTATCACATACCCTTACATGTCAAGAAGCAACAGGGAAACACTGAGAAATTCCAGAGGGGGTGGGTCATGTGGACATTCTGTTTTGGACTCTGGATCTGCCAGATGGTGAAAAACCTCTTGGTGTGTGGTAGTTTCTCACAGAAGCCGACCTAGGGGCAAAAGGAGGCTTGGCTTTACCAGGATCACTCTTACAACAAGACCAGTCCCCAGGAGGGTGGATGGATGTAATGAAGATCGGCAGGACATGAGGACAGGGAGGGCCTGTTTGGGGACTCCAGCTTGGGGCCAGTGTGGAAATGAAAAACCAGAGATGGGAAGCCGTCAGATAATGGAAATCCACAGCCTCAGCCACCTCTAGGGTCTTGGTACAGGACTGAAGGATGACTTCCCACAATGCTCACACTGAGTCTTTCCCCAACATCTCCCGTTGAAGTCCTTAAGGCCACTCCCACAGAAAGAATCTTTGAAGAGGTCAGAGGGGTGGGGCTCTAATTAAGAAGAAATGCAGTGTTCTTAGTATTCATAGAAGAAAAAGACACCAGAGACAAGAGATTGGAGAAAGGCACCGTGGAGGAGATGATCCCAGATCTGGGAGAAATGAGTATCTGTTGTTGAAGCCAACCTGTGTCTGTGCCGGCATCACTGACTGACCCAGGCAACCTTGAAGTCTAGCTAGCCATGCATCCTGCACCTTTGACACTGAGACATGGCATGGTCATCTACAAAGTTCATACCCTTAGGGAAAAAAAAGAAATGGAAAAGAAAATATATATATATATATATTAAAAAAACCCTTAATATTTTAAGTTAGTTTACAGTTTTTGTAGTGGGTCACATTCACAGCTGTTTGGGGGTGCAGGCAGTCTGTGGGCTATGGGCTGGACACATCTGAGAGCTCACAATAGCCTCAAGGACTTGACTCACAGTGCTAGCAGGTACAACACCTGGCCAGGGCCCAGGAGCTGTCTCTCCCTTCTCAGCGTTTGGAATTCTGTAGGCTGCTTCCCACAGGCACCCATCCCTTCTACTCTGGTGGGTTTATTCCTCAGTAAGACAGTCTACTACATCAGAGGCCAGCCCAGTTGACCACAGACCAAGTCACAATATATTTTGACTCTATGGGTCTTGGGGTCTCTCTTGCAAATAATTTTGTCAATGCTGGGAACAACATGGAACTGATGGGAAATTTGAATTGCATTGAATCTGCCTGGGTCATATTTTTCTTCTTTTGATTTTGTTTTTCATCCTCAGTTACAAAGAATGTGAAAACCACTATGCAGCCTGGAGCTCGAGGACCCCAGGTTAAAAGTGGGTGGCACTCGTTTGATCTGTACACCTTAGGTCGCCATGTCCAACTGGGGACAAGGGATATGGAGGTTGAGGGGAGTCTGGCTTTGTGTGTGTTTGGGGGAGACATGCAGTGTCTGTACATGGGGTTGGAGGTGCCAAGACTCCTAAATTTACAAAAATTATTTTTCAAGACAAGGTCTCATGGTGCCCAGGCTGGTCTCAAACTCACTATATGGTCAAGGATGACTCTGAACTTCTGATCCTCCTGCCTCTGCCTCTTGTGTATGGGAACCTAGTCAAGCACCATCATATCTGGTTTATGTGGTACTTGGGATGGAACTCAGGGCTTTGGGGGGTGTTAGGCAAGCGCTCTACCCACCTCCTGCGCTAGGTATCCCGTATACAGCCACCAACCGGGCAACACCCATCTAGGGCTCCTATTGGCCCAAAGTTCAAGTTGCTACAGAGAACAAGAGGACCGAGCACATGACACACAGGCCCTTCCCCCTCTGACCAGTAAGAGAAAACACGCATTCAAACCATCCAAGGGACCACTTGGAGTTTCTAGGTTAGCTCTGGGGATGGGGACACAGGAGATGTCCCCACACAAAGCTAGAAAGGACTTGTTCCCTCCAAAGCCTGTGTCTCGAAGGTTTTGCAACATGAGGAAGAGACAGAAGCCGTTTGGTGCTAGTGGAGTGGGTGGCTGGTGTGATGGAACAAGGGGCATTGTCCAGAGTGAGGTGCTGAGGAGGCCAGCAGTTGGGGTGGCGGGGGTGGGGGATGTATCTAACGACCTGACCTTTTCTTTCTTTTGGCTCTGTGCAGGGTAGAGGAACCCATCATCCTCAGATGCTTCCTCAGGGAAGACTGGCTTGCTGCCTGGATCCAAGTGTTTGCGCATTACGGGGCTGCTAGCCAGCCAGGGCCTGTTAGCTGGAGGAAGCGAGGGAAGCCAGGGAGGGATGGAGCCTGGAGCCCAAGCACAGGTCCAGCCCAGGGTGGGGAGGTCAGGAAAGAGCAAGAGAGAAGAGGTGACATCTGACCCAAGAGACCCAGGTCCCGTAAGTGGAAGAGTGGCAGAGGAACCAGGAAGGCTGGGACTCTCCCTGTATCATTCAAGTCCTTAATCACAAACAGGTCTTCAGAAATCCTATGGAGCCCAGGCTGTCCTCAAACTTGTTATCCTCCTGCCTCAGCCTCCAGAGTTCCAGGATTACAGGTGGGTTGCCACCACACTCTTTTTTTTTTTTTTCTTCAAGTCTGTGGATCCTTCACAGAGTCATAGATCCTAGATTCAGAGCAGGTCAGACCCCTAGGAGGTGGGTGATCGGTCCCTCCTTGTAAAGAAACCCCTTCCTCTGGCTCCCTTGAAGCACCCAGAACTGTGGAGAAATCTCCCTCTCCAGCCCCCAGTGGGTCATTCATCTGAAAACAGGGGAAGCAGATGAATGGGTTCCAGTTCCTGGTGACATGTCAGGTTCCCAGTAGCTCAGCCCTCTCTGGCCCTCTCTCCTCTTACTTCCTCTCTTGATACAAAGACACATGATAAAGACTGGGGTCCATGGACCAAAGAGGTCCTGATGGGATTAAAGAGAAAGGAGGAACTAAACTCTAGGTCCTTAGTAGGTTGCTGGGGGGCGGGGGGCAGATCTCAGCCCAGCGCTGGCCACAGGGATGAATTCAGAAGGCAGCCTTGTTAGATGAGGACGCAACTACTGATAAGAATGGTCCTTAGTGGTACTGGAGTCCTGGCACGTGAGCACACGTATGTAAAATGTCTCCAAGATGCATGAATGCTGAGCCACGGAGACACAAGTGTTACCAGGAGAGAGAGATGTTCACATGGGAACAACTTTGTGTGGGGGCCCCAGGTCCCCCACACAGGTAGAGGGAGCTTTGCAAAGGGGTTTGAGAAGGGCCGTGCAAAGACTTGAGGGTGTCGTAGGATAAGTCTCTCTGAAAGTGTGACCACTGTCAATCAACCTTCTTGCTTTGCAAGCAGGTTTGGCCCCAGGACGTGCATCCTAGGACCACCAAAGAAGGGGACAATTCCGTATGATTGGGTTGGATGTCTCTGTCCTGCCACCTCTGCTAGTTCTCTGCTTGGGGACAGTTTTTCTTCATGTGTCAAGTGTGACTGCTGGGCACAGGGCTTTGGGGACATGGACCAGTGACCTCAGGGCACTCCCTTCTATTTACTGTATACCATCCGTTCTCAGCATCCCTCAGGCAGGATCCTGTGGCAGGCGAGAGGGTGGGGTAGCCCAACACAGACCAGAAAAGCTTCCCTCTCGGGTGGGGAGAAAAGAAAGGCATGGGAGATGTGGTGTGAGGGGCACAGGGTCCTGAGTGGGGAATCCACTCAGAGGACTCAGCACTGGGCCAGAGTAGAGACCACGGAACCTCTACAGATGCGTTCCCTCCTTGCACCCCCTGACAAGGAACGCAGTGGGTGAGAGACAGGGAGACCCTTGTAAATATTACTTGCATACCCATGTAACCTGTCATGCATACCCAGGACCTGTATCCGTCACCGTGGGAGAACCAACTCCAGCAGTGTCAGCGCCAAAGAGAGAACGTACCAGAACTCTCTTGCCGCAGGCCCAGTTCTCAGGACTCAGACTTTGGCGGTGGTGTGTGTGTGTGTGTGTGTGTGTGTGTGTGTGTGTGTGTGTGTGTACACCATGAATGATGGTGAGCTACAAAGGACCTCCAGATGCCATATCAGCTGAGATGCTATGGTGTCCTCCAATTTGCCCAGGGGAAGGTGGCCTGTGAGGTGAGTCAGAACACCATTCTTACAAAACAGGATGAAGGGGGAAACCAAAGGACTTCTCCCCAGAGAGGCCCCATAGTAAAACGACACACGGGACTGCCTAGTGTCCTTCGGAGCTGACACACGGGACTGCCTAGTGTCCTTCGGAGCTGTGCGCCCAGGGGCTAGCAGTCACTTCCAGCTTGGGATGGGGCCTCTACAAACAGATGTTGCAACCTTAGCCTTAACCCTTTCCACTCTGACCTTGGCCTGGGAACCTTGACTCAACGGAGCAGGCATGTCGTTCCTGGTTCCATCCCTGTCCCAAGTTCTGGGATAGCACAGCTGGGACACTCCACAGGTGGGCAGGCTTGTCCGGGTGGTAAGAGAGCTGGAGGTCCCGTCCACACGTAGACGACACATGCACACTCGCCGGTCCTGTGAGGGAGTCTGCCCACAGGGCCGTCGGTCTGGGTCTCCACAGCCTGGCCATGTTGTGTTGCGTCTGCTGCTCTTCAGACCGTGCACGGGACCCTCACTCGTCCAGCTTGATCCTAGCTCAGGGGGGGGTCCCTGATCCTGCCTGAGTAAAGGGGTACAAGTCCAAGATGCGGTCAGCCTCCACGGCGTCCGGGTCATCGCACAGGTCTCCCAGGCTGGGCTGTGTTGGGACTCCCCTGGTGGTAAGCCTGGGCCTCCTGAGCTGGCAGAGGGCAGAGCAGGGAGGAAGAGGTGGTTTGGGGGCGAGTCAGCTGATGCTGGCCCATGTCCACGGTCACAGCCTGGAAGGGGGAGAGAAGGCAGGGTGGATAAGAGGGATATGGGTCCCATTGTGCCATCTTTTATGTGCCAACACCTTGTCAGAGCGTGGCTCCGGTGGGCTCCCGTCCTTTCCAAGCAGAAGGGACGTCTACTAACCAAGATCCAACTGTGCACCAGACTCTGGACTGATGGTGTCCTGTTCCTGATTCCATTTAAGCCTGGGAAGGGGTTTAGCTGTGGGCATTTTGTATCCTTTTTCCAAATAAAAACTGAGGATCAGGGAGTTTTTATGTGGTTCGCTTAAGCCTCAGGGTCAAGATTTGAACACAGAACTCTCCCTCATGACAGCAGGTAATCCAGTGTGTAGGTTTGGAAAAGCCTGACACATGGCTGAAGACAGAGACCTCTGGTGTGAGACCAGACCTGTGTAGTGGACTTGAGTGACATCGGCAGACCCTCATGATCACACATGTCCCCTTTTAGCATGGGCTCTGATTCCCCACAGGAGTCTAACACACACAAGATGAAAAAACGATAAAAATTGAATGGAAAATTCCATAGGGTTTCTAGCATCATGGGACCAAGGACCACAACTTATCCTGTTTCTTCAGTCTCTTCAATCCATCCAGAGAACCTAGAAAACCTAGAAAAAGACTTTCTGCCTCCTCCTCCCCTCATCAGTGAGTACAAGCCCTGCTCAGGGGCCACTGGGTGCTGGTCCAAAGGACCTTTGAGTTTTATAGCATCAGACACCCTAAGCCACTCTTAGAAGGCGGAGTGGCGTCTGGTTTGAGCTGCCTCCTGCATGTTTCTTCCATGACTGGGCTCTAAGTGCCACCAGGCTGCTAGTCCAAGGCTCTTGTTTCATCCTGGCACACAGTGATGGCCAGGGCAGAGTGAACATTGGTTATCTGAGAGGCACTGTGCCCAGAAACACATGACCTTGCTGGTCCCTCACAGTATCCCTGCCGTGGCTTTCACCGCCCTCAATGTTCAGAGCGTGGAATTCTACTTCAGAGAAGCCAGTGGACTCGCCCAAGTCACATAGCTATTAATGGCAGAGAGGAAATTTCAACCTGTGTCCCTGCCCAGGAAAAGGGGGAGCCCCTGGGATGAGAAGCAACGAGAAGGTCAAGGGCAGGGCTGTCTCCACATGCCCAGCTCCTGGGACCTTGAAGGTCTTCATGGGGTCCTACGGTGTACCGGCATCTACACATCTGTGTGCAGACATGCCTGGTGAGCAGATAGGGCAGACACGTGGGTGTGCACATGTCCTCACGTGCCAAGTAGTATCTCTATGTAACTGCTCTGTTTGTACCTGAATTTGCCTGCATGAGCAGGCTTTAGGGTGTACTTCCATGGAACGTCCCTATGTATGGAGGTGTGTATACAACTGAGTGCATCTCTCTCTCTCTCTCTCTCTCTCTCTCTCTCTCTCTCTCTCTCTCTCTTCCTTTTTCTCTCGTGTGTGTGTGTGTGTAGGTTTGTGTGGAGTACTGTTTCTGTGTTTGTGTGTGTGTGTGTATACCTGAGTTTGTGGGAGTTTACCGGGGAGTACCTAGGATGGCAACAGGAAATGGGGCCCCCTTAGCAGCCTCTCTCTCACCTTCAAGAGAGATCCATCATGAAGGCAGGCCTGGGGACGGGACCCCGGGGTGAGGTACATGTTCCTGGTCTCGGGAAAAGCAAGGGATCTACAGCTAGGACAATGGCAAGGACGGGCATGGATCCTCCTAAGAAGGGAGCAGAGGCAGAGGATGACGAGAAGCTGGGGGCCCTTCCTGTCTCTAGACTTCTGCAGTGGAGGATGCTGGGAGCTGAGATCTGCCATGAAGGGGGCAGGCGCCGGCCCAGGTGGGAGGAACCCTGCCAGTCAGGCTTCATAGAGGAGACCCCAGTCACGTAACAGCTGCTTAGACTGAGGCAACATCTGTCATCAGGAAGAAACAAGCCAGAGGTCACTGTGCCAGCCACAGGTAGACTCTGGCTCCCCTGAACAGACCCTGGTAGAGAAGTGTGGTAGCTGGGTGCTGGGTATGTAGAGGAGTGGGACCAGCTGAGGGAAGGGTTGGAGGAGGAGAACAAAAAGGAGACAGAGGTCAAAGGGTAAAAGGTCAAAGGGCAAGACAGCGGGGGGAGCTGCTGAGGGGAACACGTACTCTGCAGACTTCCAGAAATGTCCGGGGTGTGACAGACGGCGGTTTCGCTTTGGCAGTTTCTCTAGCATGTCCATGAGCTTGGTGAAGGTGGGCCGCTCTTCCTGCTCAAAGGCCCAGCAGAAGAGCAGAATGTCCTAGAAGAAACCGGTGAGCCATGACTGGACCTAAGTGGTGACTTTACTGAGCCCTCAACTAGGTGTTAGCACCTGGGCATTGCTCTGGGGCTAGCCATTCGTCCACCCATTGGCCCACTTCACATCTCTCCCTCATCCACCCTTCTATCCACTTGCTCAGCATCCATCCATCCACTCAGGAGCCACTATCAATCTACCCCCTGAAAAACATAGCCATCCCACCCACCCATTCACCCATCTATCCATCAGCTCATCCATCCATCCATTCATCCATCCATCCATCTATCCATCCATCCACCCACCCACCCACCCACCTACCCATCCATCCATCCATTTACCCATCCATCCATCCATCCATCCATCCATCCATCCATCCATCCATCTATCTACCCACCCATCCACCCACCCACCCACCCACCCATCCATCTATCCATCCACCCACCCACCCACCCATCCATCTATCCATCCACCCACCCACCCATCCATCCATCCATCCATCCACCCACACATCCATCCACCACCCACCTACCCATCCACCTACCCATCCACCCACCCATCCATCCATCCACCCATCATGCATCCATTCATCCATCCATCCATCCACCCACCTACCCATCCATCCATCCATCAATCCACCCACCCACCCATCCATCCATCCATCCACCCACCCATTCACTAATCACTTACCCATTCATATACACAGCCATCCTACGCATCCATCCATCAATCTGCCTACCATCTACATATCCATCCATATCAACTCATTCATTCGTCCTTCATCTAGCATCCATCATTTTACATTCACCCATCACCCATGAACACCACTATCCATTTGCCAAAATCCATCCATCCATCCATGCATCCACATGAACCCACTCATCCTCATTCACCATCCATACTTCCATCAGTTCATCCACACATAAATTATCCACTCTCTCATCTATCTATCCACTCACCATCATCTATCACTCACCATCCACATAATATTCCATCCAATTATCCATCTATCTACTCTCCACAAAGCATGAATCCTCATAACCATTCTGCTATATCAATTCACTTATTTAGCTTCATCTGTTATCCATCTATCCACCCATTCATCTTATCCCCCACCCTCCCTCCTTCCTCTTTTCTCATTTGCTTGATTAGCCACTCTAGTAAGCTAGGGAGGCTCCCTGCTACAAGGCCTGAGATATATCAAGACCAATAGTAGCTCCAGTGAGTGTCTTGGCCTTTTTCTTGAATGTGAGAGAGAGAAGGAAATCCTGAAGTCTCTAGCTACATCCCACTCGATTAGTAGGTGTCCATCAAAGTTAGAGAGGAGAAAAGCTAATTTCCACCATATCCTTGCCCAGGAAGAGGAACCTGGAGGCAGGTGGTCCTGATGAACACCTGATGTAATTACTGCTTCCCTGGCTTACCTGTTTTCTGACCAAAAGAGAGGATTCTCCCCATTGTATTCAAGAGGAAGAGTGCTCATTTACAATCAGGCCTCTTGGTTTCTGTCTAGCATACTCTGAGTTAGATAGTGGTTTAATACTATTGCTGGATGCAAGTAAAAATGAATGCTAATACTGTTTGTGATATTTTAATGAATATTGTTTAAAAAGTAACAGGCCAAGTAGGTATTTACTGTTTTATCTGAAGCAGCAATCCATTGCTAGGAGGGTGACTAAGTGTTACTGCGCCCCTGGTGGCAGGCACCTGGAATTGCAGGCACAGTGCTGAGAATTGGCCCTTTAAAGCTCCAAGCAGATCACTTTAGTCACTCTGTGGGAAAGCTTCTATAACCTTCACACACAGGACCAAGAAATCCCAGGACTGTGTCTGAATCTCTCCTTGTCCCACTTACTCCGCCTTTCTTGGGACTTACCGAGATTTCTTTTCCCATTCCAATCTGGCTGAGGTTGGGTTTCATGCCTGCGCCCATCTGCCAAATTATGGCCTCTGCTGGTTGAGTCTTGAAGGGCCACTCCCTGGCATGGAGCTCATACCAGATGGTGCTGTCAGACAGGGGACATGGTTGAGGAGGCATCGCTGGACTGTGTCATTTGTGACCCAGGAACTCCCTCTTCACCCACCATCCAGACAGGGGTAGCCTCCTGGCTAGCCATTCCCTTTGCGGTCTCTACCCAAGGGGCTGCTATTTTGTCTAAAACCCTCTTGAAGTTAGCCATTAGGCTGATACAACTCTACCTGAAGAATTTAACACAAGGTGGTGGCCAACTCTGACCTTATACTCGTGATTCTAGGAAACAACTATATTTGAATACTTTATTCATGAGGTTGCCCTATATGGCCTCACATACAACACTCAAAAGGGTAGAAATAGCATAACACCTCACTAGTAACCAGCAGATGTATGTATTATAGTAACTCCTTAAAAATGAATGGTGCCATATTACCTCGAGAATATTTGCAAGACATTTTGCTGGCATGAAAAAAATTCTCAATTGCTCACTTTAAGTGTAAAAAGCAGGATAAAGATGGATATGGGGTCTGTGTGTGTGTGTGTGTGTGTGTGTGTGTTTGAGACAGGATTTCTCTGTGTGGTTTTGGTGCCTACCTTGGATCTCGCTCTGTAGACCAGGCTGGCCTTGAACTCATAGAGATCTTCCTGGCTCTGCCTCCCGAGTGCTGTGATTAAAGGCATGCGCCACCACCGCCCAGCCGGATATGGGGTCTTTAAAATCACTATGTATGCATGGATGGGGGAGGATCATGAAAGCCAACAACATGCCCATGAGGAGTAGCGGGGTGGGGAGCTTTTTATTTTCATAGCTGTCTGTACACTGTAAGGATGAGTCACAGTGTGGAGTGGCAGAAGGAAACATAACGACTGTGGTGTGATGAAGACCGGCCTAAGTCTATGCTAGTGGGTTGAGGCAGTGCAAGCTACGCCCCCCTTTCTCTGTGCCCACAGAAGGGTGTCTATGTGGACGCCAAGCATCCGCACACAGTGCTAGGATTACTCCATGGATATCTGGCACGCCACATGTCCCATAAATCACAACAGGACAACAAAGGGAGAAAGGATGCCAGCGTTGAGCTTGGCCACAGATGGGGGGATGGCTGGATGGCACATCAATGCCATCATGAGGCACCATCAGTGGTGAGGATGGTGGCGAGGAGTTTGGCGAGGCTGGCATGTCACTGAGCTAGCTATTCTGTGGCCAATGATCTCCCGTTCCCTGAGAGGCAGGTCTCTCACCTCAGGAAATATCTCAATAAAAAGGATGTTTCCTTCTCCACAAGGAGACCTCTGGGCTTCTCTCTCTCTCTCTCTCTCTCTCTCTCTCTCTCTCTCTCTCTCTCTCTCTCTCTCTCTGTTCCTGAGACAGAGGTTCTCTCTGTAGCCTTGGCTGTCCTGGAACTCACTCTGTAGCCAAGGCTGGCCTTGAACCCACAGAGATCCACCTGCCTCTGCCTCTCAAGTGCTGGGATTAAAGGTGTATGCCACCACATCGGGCTCTCTGGGCTTTTCTTAAAGGAACACAAAGGCACTCTGGCATTCCCTTAACTGACCAAGGGCTGTGTTAACTCAGGTCTTCACAGGCAACTTTATTTTATTTAAAATTTTGTTTTATTTTTAATTAAGTCTATGTGTGGGTATATGCACATGACTACGGAGGCCAGAAGAGGGTGTCAGAGATTCAGGAATTACAGTTGTGAGCTGACTGATGTGTGTGCTGGGAACCAAACTTTAGATTTTTTGCAAGGGCAACAGGCACTCATAACCATACAGCCCTAGATGGCCTGGAACTCACTGAATCATCTCTCTAGTCTCTAGGTGTGCTGCCCAAATGTAAGGTGAACAAGGACAACAGCAACAGACATGTCAAAGTGGCCAGGGACAGCCCAGGATGCCTCAACCCTACACGAAGAACTGTAGACAACTAAGGATGGAGAGCGGGAGAAACGGCCTTCCCCAGGGAAGAGCACATCCACTGGTTATCCAATACAAATGCTCAGCCCTGAAAACACATACAAGTAGCATTACACAGACTGAGCGGGTTATATTTAAGGATGTGAATATATACATATACATATACATATATGCATGCAATATCAATGAATGGAAAAAGAGGCTATGAATTTGAGAAACAGTAAGGTGTGGTATATGGGAGGGCTTGGAGGGAGGAAAGGGAAGGGAAAATGATGTCATATTATAATCTCAATTTTTAAGTTAAAAATAAGTAAGTAATAAACGGAAAAAATCCTTTCTGCATTTTATTTTCTTTGTTGCTAGGGATGAAGCCCAGTGTCTCACGGGTGTTAGGGTTATGCCTTCCATCACCGGCTTCAGTGTGGAAGCATGGAGCTCAGCTTGATTGACAGTATCTGGAGGAACGCGGGTTTGGTCTGCTTTTGAATTGCTGGGGTAGAATCCAGAGCCTTGTACCTGCTAAGCAAGCACCCTACGCTGAGCCCCACGCCTAATGCTGTGAGTCTTCTTATTCCAATGCTTTGACTGGTTGGCGACTTGCTGGCCCTGGTGGACCATCCCCTGCCTAGGCTAGCTGACTCCTGTAGACAGGGAGGGGCTGACCAGGGAGTGTGCCTTTCACAACAAACCAAATGACTCAGAACACCTGGGCCAGTTGTTCACACTTAAGGTCCATGATCCCTTCCCTAATCTCTCCATCCAGAGCCCAAAAAGTGATTCCAGTTCACTGATTTGCTGTCTTTCTCTTTCTTGTGTACATGTGTTCCTGTGGGCACACGTGTATGTGCACCTGTGCTTATGCACCTATGTGCACATGCGGGTGGGTGCCAGCGGTCAACCCACGGCATCATTCCTTAGTTATGCCCACTTTGCTTGCTTGAGACAAGGTCTCTCTATGTAGCTCTGGCTGGTCTCAAACTTACTATGTAGACCAGGCTAGCTTTGAACTCATAGAAATCTGCTTACTTATAGCTCCTGAGTGCTGAAATTAAAAGTGTGTGCCACCACACCCAGCTTGATTTTTAAGACAGGGTCTCTCACTGGCCTGGAACTCATCAATTCATCCAGACTGGCCAGGGAGCTCCAGGGATCCCCTTGTCTATTCATCCCCAGTGCTGGGATCACAGGCATGCACTACCATACCCAGCTTTTTATTCCGGTCCTGGGAACTGAACTCAGGTCCTTGCGTGGGCATGCTACGCACTTAGGACTGAGCCATCTCTCCAGTTCCTGGAGAGGTTTTTATTAAGCTTAATCTGCAATAGAGAGAGGCAAGGCTTTGAGCGTAACCCACTCCCAGGTCTGTGGGCTGCTGTGTTCAAAGCCCTGGCCACAGAATTAGGGTGGCCCTGGTCCGAACCCCAGCTCTGCCACTACCAGGTGCCACATAGCCTGTCACAACCATCTGGCCCCACTTCTCTCAACCGGTCCATCTAGGACAGCATGGCCCCCATTTAGGAAGGTGTTTGTGAAGACTGCACACTACCACACACACGAAAAGCTCAACGCAGCGTTCAGTACACTTCCAGCAGCTTCTTTATGCTCTTAATCATCTCTGAACATGAGGTTCCCTGGCAACAGGATGCTCCTAATTGGCGGGAGTCCGAGAGCACGGGGTCCATCGCAATCCAACAGTGTCACCAATGAAAGGCTCATTAAAACTTCCTTCCTAACCCAACTTTTAAGGGGAAAAAAATTCACTTTGAGGAGAAAAAAAAATGTTATAGATGAAAAGCCTAGTGGGAAACCAATTACTTACTCTAGTACATTTTGTTAATTACATTTTTTTCTTCCGTTAAATTCACAGTAAAAATAAACCAACTTAATTACTGCAATTTGGTTCCAGATAATGATATCTAACTAGATAAAGATTTGGGAATTAACTAGTTAGACCAAGTGATGGCTTCTTAAGGGGTTCAAACGACAGGCTCTGAGACTTGAGAGCTTCTTAAAATGCACAGTTGGGGGCCAGCAGTGAGGGCACAGTGGGGGGCTTTTCTCCTGGAAGTTGACTGCCTCTCCAATGCGCCTCAGGGATGACAGGTCTAATTGCACAAATCTACAGCCTCACAGCTTCCTCGGTCAGTGTTCCTGGCACTATCTCCCCACTCTTCAAATCCATCCCATAAATAAGGCAAGGATCAGCGTGGCTATTTATGTGACGGGGCACAGCTATTTCCTAGCTGCGTTTTTTCATCTGTTGTTGTTGTTGGTGGTGGTGTGTATCTACGGATGTGTTATAGTGCTCTTGTGCGTATGCAAATGACACCTAAATGCACATGCGTAAGTATGTACAAATGTGTGGAGATCAGAGAACATGTTGGATATCTTGCCTCCATTTCTCTCCACTTTATTTTTTTGAGGCAGGGTCTCTCACTGAATTAGTGGAATCACTAATTCACCTAAGCTGGCTAGCCATTGAGCTCTAGGGATCCACCTGTGTCTGCTTCCCAGGCATTCAGTCACCCAGTTCTTTACATAGTCACTAAGGTTACACACTAATGTCCTCATGATCCTGCAACAAGCACTTACTGACTGAACATTCTCCCTAGACCCCTGATTGTTAGTATTATTATTATTATTATTATTATTATTATTATTATTATTAAGACCTGTGCCTATGTCTTGGTCCCTTCTCATCCTTCTATGGTTCTGAGAGCTTCTCATTTTTTCCCCATGGCTGCAGATGTTACACAAATGCTTCCTCTCCCAACTCCAGAGGTGAGGTGGATGAGGTGGATGTGGATTCCCCCACTTCTGCTAATCATCCCCAAAGTTGGTCACACTCACTGTGCTCATACCCAAATTCTTTGCATAGCCCAACCACGCCTCACTTCCAAGGTCACACTACCTTGGCAAACACCACTGCTCTTCTACTCACCAATGGCAGCTATCTCGGGACCCCATCACTAAACCCTAGCACGTATACCCTGTAAAGGCCTCTTTATTTTGAGCCCATACCCATGGCTTCTGATGGATGGAATGGCCAATACCTCCTTATGTGTCGGTCACCCAACCGTCACCAAGCCCTTCTCCGTTCAGTTATCTGTAGAGCAGCCAGAGTCATCTGGTTGAACTGGGGCTCCTGTGACCATCACGTCATTTGCCTGCTTTATAACCATCGATGGCTCCCTAGTGCCTTGAAGAAGAAACTACACACCACCATTAAGTCCATGAAGGCCTGATCCTGCTTTCTCCCTTAGTGTCTCACCTCAGCCTCATTCCCAACCCAACCTTTCATCCCTCAGGACCTTCTCCCCATTGCTACATGTTCCTCCACTGTAGATGATTTATCTTCCCTCTACGCCACCTGTCTCCCTGCATCTGCTCTCCGACTCCAGCTTAGGAGTCATTTCCTGCTGGAGGCCCTCCCTCACCTCCCAGGTTGGTACAGGGATTCTCTTTCATCCCCAGAGTCCTGCCTTCATCCCCAGGGCAGCATCCCACTGACTCCTGGAATTCTACAAGGCAGAGTAGAAGTTCTCAAGGAGTCGTGAGGTCAAAGGCAGGATCGCAGCTCAGAAGCATAGCCCTTGCCTCGCATGCGCAAGGCCCTGGGTCCCAGTCCCAGCAGCTTGACAAGCAGAAGTCAAAAAACGTTCTGAAACTCCTTCTTTTCTGAAAATGGCAGAGATAACATTTCCTGTCCTCGAGAGCCATCTACACTTGGATCTACAAGGAGCACATGTTAGAAGGAGACAGCACATTCTGAATTACAGTAGTTGCTCTCCTATTCGGCATACTTGTCTGAACTCAAAGAAAGTTGTAAAGTGACATGTGTGAACTGCCCTGGTTTCCAACATTATGCAAAGTACACACTTGTCAAAGTTTCCTGCTGCATGTAAATACGACATTCAAAAAGAAAACTTAAAAAAAATATGGTGGGAGCGATGCTGTGTAATGCCTCACTCGACTTAGCTCATATTCGCCACAAGGCTATTTGCTGTCATGTTGGGAGCTCTCTGGAGCAGCTTCCACACAGCAGGGTGGACTGCTCTGCATGGTTGAGTGAGCATGAGCAGCTTTCTTGGAAGTGATCCATAGACACTTGATACACAATGACCACTGTAACAATGTAACAGTGAATTGGTATACAATGAACAAATGGATGAACGAATGAATGAGTAGGGTAACTTGCCATGGCCCTATAATCAGAAACTAGGCATTCAAGTGTGCTATATGCTGGGCAGTGGTGCACGCCTTTAATCCCAGCACTCGGGAGGCAGAGCCAGGCGGATCTCTTTGAGTTCAAGGCCAGCCTGGTCTACAGAGCGAGATCCAGGACAGGCACCAAAACAACACAGAGAAACCCTGTCTCAAAAAAACAAACAAAAAAAAATGTGTGCTACAGTTTTGTTACAGCCCCCTCAGGTCCCCCAAGCTCACTCAGAAGTCCTACCACCTTGCCCTTACCAACCTGTGCCCTGACTCTTCCAAAGGTGTCACTAGGCAGTGGCTCTACCCACGTTGTGGAGGTCAAAGGCCAGGGTGTGGCCCACTTACCCGAGAGCAAAGACATCCGAGTGCTTGGAGAAGGGGAGCTTGTCCTCTTCAGTGTCGGGGGACAGCTGACGGATGATCTCTGGGGCCAGGTGGCACAGCCAGCCATTCTGGATGCGTAGCTTGTCTTCTCGTCTGCGGAGACAAAGCCCGGGAGAGCCTTGTTTTGTAGCACCGATCCCAGGTCCTGGGAAGACCTCTACTGGCTTCCTACCCTCCTCCGTGGGCATTCCCTGACCGTCTGTATGAGGCTGAGACCCGGGGTGAGGCGCAGGGAGAAGGATGATGGAGGGACCCTCTTGCTCATCTTCGCTGAACATGGTCTGTTCCTGTTGTTCCTATAAGTTGTGTTCTGCCCTCTAAGGTTGCCTCTAGGGAAACTATACTGGGTGGTTGTGTGTGTCAACTTGACACAAGCTAGAGTCATCAGAGGAAGTCCTCCTGCTGAGGAAATGCCTCCTTGAGTTCCAGCTCTAAGGCATTTTCTCATTTAGTGATCAACGGGGGCGGGCCCAGCCCGTGGTGGGTGGGGCCATCCCTGGGCTGCTGGTCCTGGGTTCTATAAGAAGGTGGGTTGAGCAAGCCAGGGACAGCAAGCCAGTAAGCAGCACCCCTCCATGGCCTCTGCATCAGCTCCTGCTTCCGGGATCCTGCCCTGTTTGAGTTCCTGTCCTGACTTGCTTCAGTGATACACAGCAAAGCTGAAGTGTAAACCTATTAAACCCTTTCCTCCCCAACTTGCTCTTTGGTCATGGTGTTTCATCACAGCAATAGAAACCCTAACAAAGACAGGAACTATGCAAAATCTCACAGATTAATACCTTAAGTCTCCCAAATAGTACATTCTAGTAGACTCCTGGCACCAGATGTGTAATTGTAAACAAGACTAACAAGGAAGAGCCCTTGAAATTGGTAGGAAAGAAGAGCCAATGAGGATGAATTAAATGGAAAAAAGGCCACACCGTGGGAAACACTATACAGAGTCACAACAGAGGCCTGTGTCCCAGCCAAGGACACATCCGACATAAGCTTTATGTGGCAGAGGATCTGGCCATGCGAACACAAGGATTATCTTAGCCAGAAGGGAAAGCTAGGTCAAAAACCCAGGGAGGTGACCAGAGGAGGGTTCTAGAAACCAAGAAACAGCAGTGCACAGGAAGGCAATATGCATCCCATGTTTGAACCTGGATACTGGTAGTTGGGCACTGTTCTTCCCCCCATGATAAACAGCAGTGCACTGGACATCTGTGGGAAAATGCTGTCACTATCTGCCACTGTCCCCGAGATAAATGTCTAGAGGAAGGAAGCAAAGTCGCTCCGATACCTTGAACATCTCCAGCAGATCGGAGCCTTTTATTGGGGACAGATGACTAAGTGGCCCTTGCATGAAGTTTCCAATGACCAAAGACTACTACAAAAGGGGGTGTTGGCCAAGGGACTTGAGCAAGAGACAGGCGCATCAAGACTGTCTCCATGGCAGTCTCTATGGGGACCTGGGCTGGCTGCACTCTATGGCTCTTCCGGGTAGGCTTCCAAGCTACATGAGGTGTGACGTGCTGGTCCCTCCAGGGCACTCAGCCAGAGCCCCCATCATGATGCCCCCCACGTCTGAACATCTTCAGGGACAGTGTTATTCTATCTAGTCTCTCAAACGTGGCGGCCACCAATTTCTGTGGCTTTCCCGCTCTTCAAAGGTGGGCACTATGACCAAAGGGATGAGATTAAATATATATAGAGAGAGTGTTTGTGTGCTCTTGACACACGCCTAGAGGTCAGAGGTCAAACTGCAGAAACTGGTTCCCTTCTGCCCTGTGGGTCTTGGGGACGAACTCAGGTCTTCAGGTCTGGTGGCGGGTGCATTTACCTGCTGAACTACTGAACTTGAGATTTAACTCCACTTTAAATTTTTAATTGTATCTAGCCTCTCTCTGTCTCTCTCTCTGTCATACACACACACACACACACACACACACACACACACACACACACACAACTCACATGGCGGGTTGGTCAGAGGACAACTTGCAGGAATCATCCTCTTGTTCTAGCATGAGAGTCCCAGGGATCAAACTCCGGTCATCAGGCTGGGCAGCAAGTGTCTTTACCCACTGAGCCGACCCACAGACCCTGATTCCACTTTAATTAAAGTTAAATCTGTGCAGATACATCTGTCTGGCTAGTGGCCCAGATCTAGATAATGATTTACTAAAACCAATTAAAAAAAAAAAGAAACTTAAATATATTTTAATAAGTGACTTTTAGCACAGCCATAAATAGAAACTAGTATTTTTCCAATACACATTAAAATGAAGACAGAAAGCGCTTGTCCATTCCCTCCTTAAAAATCTGCTCACAGCCTACCCTCTCAGAAACCCCGGGCCTAAAGGAAAGAACTCTTAATGAGGTGGCAGGAGTTCGGGGGTTCAGGGTTCCAGAGCTGCTGATGCATTTCTTAGTTGGGGGAAGGAGGCTAGGAACATTCTAGACTTGCAGTTCTCCAAGCCCTTTTTTTTTCCCTCAGAGGGCACACAGCATCCATCTGGATAACACAGATATTGAGAGATTCCTAGACAGGGGCTGAAGGGAGGAGACTGGGCTGGGAAAATCACAGCAGCTTCAGCCTGTGTGTATGGGGTCTCTCGGTGGGGTGTCTCTCCATGCAACATCGGGGCCATCTGTCCACTGCCTACATTTCTACACCAGGAGCCAGACACAGTCAGGTGGTCACCATGCGATCAGTTCTAACTCCGGGCTTCTCGTCTCAGGGCCATATTACTCTGGATGTTTCTGTCAGGTGGGGCTATTCTGTGCTTTGTACCAAGTTTCCTGGCAACCCTGGCCTCTAGGCAGTAGTTGCTGGTAGCACCCCTCCCCCAACACACACACACACACACACACACACACACACACACACCCTAACTGTAGCTAGGAGGAATGTCTCCAGCCCTATCAGCAGGAAAAATAGCCTCCACTGAAAGTCCTTCATTTAATACATACTAGAGAAGAGGATGGTCCAGATTCCAGCATCAAGAATGTCTCCTCTGCTGTGAGCAAGGAACATGATAGGAAATGTCCCCTGCTAGTACAGAGGGCCCAAACGCTTTAGCAAACCCTGGGGTTGGCAGAGTTGAGTGACATCTTTCTTCTGGAATCAAGAACACCCACTGGCATTTAAGGATGTAAGGACTCATGTGCTGCTTGTTAGCTGCGAGGCCTCAGGCACATTCTGGCCTCTATTTTCCCATCTGCCAAATGGGCACATTCATTCGTGCCGCCGATAGTGATGGCAACATGAGAGTGTCTAGTTGAGGGCTATATCTGCTGCCAGGGCCATGTGACTACTGGGCAGAAATTAGTCTATACTACATCCCACTCACATACATTATATCTGTTTATCTGGAGGACTGAGTCCAAAGTACGAAAGTCTACGGCAGAATAGGAGACTTAGAGTAGGTTAGCCGACTTCGCCCAGGCACTGCCAGTCCTTCTGGGGGCTGGTGGGCCGGTGACCACTGGGACAGGAGAGGGGGTAGCGGACACTCAAGTGCCATCAGCCTGGGGCTGCCGTGCGTAGGCACATGCCTGGGAGAGGGTTAGAAGGCGGGCTTGGTGCATACACCCCAGGGTGTCCCGTTCCCATGGCAATGGGCCCACCAATGACACGTCCAAATCATGCTCATTATGGTTATTATTATGATTAATAACAGGCTCTGTGAGGCTGGCACGGTAGGGCTGGCATCGTAAACGACACTTCTGCCTGAGGGTGGGAGAGCAGATGTTTTCGGGGATCTCTATGGCCGTCCCTTCGCGTCTCGTCCGGGTGGGTCTCTTCCAGTGCAGTGGGGGGTTCTGGGAAACCGCAGCCTTGGGGAACCTGATCCCAGTCAACCCATTGCATCCTGGGACTGTTAGTTTGAAGTACTGTTACTTCTCTATATGAAGTCCCATTACCACGGCTCCACCCGTCCTACAGGCTCAGGGTGTCTGGCGCATGCTCAATGAACCTAAGTCCCTATCCTCTATCTTGCAGCGTTATAGACTGGGATTGTCCCCCGGAGTCTCGTGCTGAAGCCTGGACTCTCACTGTGACTGTCACTAAAGGCAGGGCGTGTGGGCTCGAGATCTAATGTATGTGACATAAAAGCAGAAGGAAGGACTACTGGGGAAAGAGAAAGGGCCAGGAAGAAGGGAGACACCCCAAAGAGGGCCGCAGGAGGCTGAAAGTGAGCAGAGTACACGAGGCAAAGGTGTGTAAATGTCACAGTGAAACCCGTCATTTGGTGTAGGTCAGTAATTTAGTCTGTCTTATGTACTGATTTTTAAATTTTTGAAATTACACTTATTAATTTATTTGGGGGGGGGGGTTGGAGAGCGTGTGTGAAGGTCGGAGGATACCTTGTGGGAGTTGGTTCTCTCCTTTGATCATGTGGATCCCAGGGACTAAACTCAGGCCATGAGGCTTGGCCATTACCTACCTTGCCCTCTTACTAGCATACACACACACACACACACACACACACACACACACACACAAAACTGTATGCCAGTTACATACATACATATATATATATATATATATATATATATATATATATATATATATGTAATAAAGATGGGGTTTTTGGAGAGATATTTAAAATTAAACAAGGCCTAAATCCATGGCCTTAGGCAACAGGACTGTCATACTTAGAAACTTGAGGTTTGAATAAGAATGGCTTAGTCACTACAGAGTGGAACTATTTAAAGGATTAGAAGGATTAGGAGGTGTGGCCTTATTAGAGAAAGTGTGTCACGGGGTGGGGTGGGGTGGGGGAGTAGACTTTGAGGTTTCAAAAGCCCACACCAGACTCAATGTCTTGCTCGCTGCCTGCAGATCAGGATGTAGCTCTCAGCTACTTCTCCAATGTCATGTGTACCACCAGGCTCTCTGCCCTGATGACAATGGTCTAAGCCTCCGAAACTGTAAGCCAGCCCCCAATTGAATGCTTTCTTTTTTAAGAGTTGCCTTGATCACAGGTCTTTTCACATCAGTAGCACAGTGACTAAGACAGAAGTTGGAACCAGGGACTGTGGTATGGCTGTGACAGGCCCGACCATGCTGTTTGTTGGAGGAATATGGAGGACTTTGGGGCTAGAAAAGCAGGTGGGCACTCAAAGCAGGACTAATGAGCCATGCTAGTAGGAGCATGGAAGACGGCGCTGAGGGAGATTTGAACTGTGGGGGCCCAGCTCAAGAAGTTTCTGAGGGGAAGGACATTATTAGTATGTGGCCTAGAGGTTGTCATCGGGATATTTTGGCAAAGAATGTGGCTGCTTTTAAAGTCCTTGTCCTAAAACATCTGCCTGAGGCTAAATTGAAGAGTTTTGGATTCATGGGCTTGAGAGATCTAGCAGATCTACAATGAAAAGCAGCAAGCTGGACCAAAAGAAATACAAAATGGACAGTGTGAGGAGAAAAAGGTACACCAGGAAGTACAATGGAGACAAACAAATCCTCTGCTCAAGGAGATAAAGGTTTAAAGAAAGGCCTGATTCGAAATGAAATAAAGGGAGTGGTGACCTCAGGGCAAGGCCCCACTTTGCATTCCTCAGAAATGGGCACCAATTTCCATCTTGGTGAGTGTTACTATTGCTGTGATGAAACACCATGACCACAAACAACCTGGGTAGGAAAGGGTTCACTTCCACATCACAGTTCATCATCAAAGGAAGTCAGGGCAGGAACCTGGAGGCGGGAGCTGATGCAGAGGCCATGGAGGGGTGCTGCTTACTGGCTTGTTCCTCATGACTTGCTCAGCCTACTTTCTTATAGAGCCCAGGACCACCAGCCCAGGGATGGCCCCCACCCACAATGTGCTGGGTCCCCGCCCCCATCAATCACTAATTAAGAAAATGCCCTACAGGTTTGCCTACAGCCCAGTCTTATGGAGGCATCTTTTCAACTGAGGCTCCTTCCTCTCTGATGACTCTAGCTTGTGTCACGTTGACAAAAACTAAGCCAGCACAGTCATGAGAATTTTGTCTCTTTCTCTTTCTCCATTCTTTCTTTCTCTTCCCTAAGCCCTTCTTCCCCCACCCCCACCTCCCGCCCCATCTATCTGAGAGATCATACAAGGACAGAGTGAAGAGTAGCCATCAATAAGCCTGCAATAAAACTCTTTGCAGAAACAGTCAGCCAGGCCTTGACCTTAATGCCCGAGAACTGGGAGAAAATATTACCTGTGTACCGCATCAGCAGCCCCCCACCTGCTACCCTGTTATAGTAGCCCTGGTTGGTGAATGCCCTACAAAGTTCTCAGTGACCATGTGATGCCTGGCTGAATGGAGACACAGACCTGGGAGCTTAGGCCTCCCTCCTGAGAATGGATTTGTTGCTGCTGCCTGTAATTCCGACTCCCTTGCCTCAGCTCCCACCATCCGCTCCCAGGCTGCTAAGCAGGACCCCAACTATTCCGTGTTTGATGGTGTCTCCTATCTCCAACTTCTTGCTCCCGTTGCACATTATTCCTGAGACTCCACTCTCCTGACACTAGATGGACGTGTGCTGACAGCCAGGATAGGCCAGAGATGGGAGGGGACATTGTCTGGACAGGTCGAGAAGCCACCTTATCTTTGAATTGGCTTGATTCTCTTCCTGATTGGTCCACACTGAGTTCACAGGAGGAATGGAAGGACAGAGTACCCAAGACACAACCTCCCCCCTCACCCTCACCCCCCACCCCCTGCTTCTCCTTCCTCATCTCTGCAGTGTGGCCTCAGCAATACTACAGAGTAAGGAATACAGTCATAGACTCCTGCTCCACCCACCCCCACCTTCCATAACAAGGAGAGTAGGCAGATATAGCGAGGTGTTACATTTTAATTGTGAAGTGGTCCCCAAAGGCTCACTGTTGGTGGCTCGGTCCCCAGCTGGTGGTACCATTGGGGGAGGTTCAGCTAAGCAGACCAAAGCTGGAGGAGAGTAAGTCACAGGGTGGTGGTGTGAGTCTCGAAGAGGATCTTGTCCCTGGCTACTTCCTATCTTTCCTTCTCCACTTTCCGTCCACCATGGGGCGAAGAAGTTCTCTTCCACATGGACCCTGCCTCCATGATGGCTGTCCAAGTCCATGGGACCAAGCAGCCATGCTGAATCCAAGAATCGGTGAGCCACGCTAAATCGTTCCTCAAGCTCATAGGTGTGTGGTTGGTATTTCCTTCACCGTGAGGAACTCGCTAACACTGCAGGTCACCAGGAGGGAGAGCTCTAACTTTATGACCAGCCCCAAATCAAGTTAAAGAAAACACTTATCCAGCCTCCACTAGTCCCACGTAAGTACTTAGGTTCACAGTGACGTCACCAATTGTGTCCCGAACCCTGCTCTGACCCCAGGGTCCGGGCAAACGAAAGTGAATGTGGTTCTCTCTGGCAAGCCGGGGGACCTTGGCACTGCTGTGGAAGGAACCCCACCCAGTCCTTCATGGACTCCCTCCCTCCATGTGTCTACTGGCCTATTTGTCTGTTTGCCGCTACTTCTCGTAGTGCCATAGACAGTTCTAGAAACTGCGTACATCCCGTTTGGATGGCGGAGACGACACCAGAAGACAGAAACCAAGGCTGCTTGCTGTACGTCCCCTCACCCCCACCCCCAGACACAGCTTATGTAATGTTTTGTTAAATTCCAAGCACTCTGACTCCAATTCAAAGGTAGCTCACAGCAGGGATAAAAATCCTTTGAGAAGGCAGGAGGATGTCCCTGAAAGAAACCAGTGGCTCTCCAGAATGGCAGAAACTTAAACACAACGAGAGAAATCACAGTGCTGCCTTCCCTGCGGAGAGAGGCCATTCATTATATGATGCAGGGGGTTCAGATGTGTGTGTCATGCGTGTGTACACAGCACACACTCCAAATTAAAATCCGCGAGGGCAGACCTCCTGAGTTATAGGCTGTTTATTTGGGATCAAGCTGTTTCTCGCATGGCTGACTCAACGTGGCTGGCTCCAGGGTGAGTGGCCTCTGAGAGTTAATTACTTAAAGATGGTTAATCATTCCCTGGGTGATCCTGGGGAGGTATATGCAAATGAGCGCTAATTACAACACAGCAGTACAGCTATTTGCCCCGAATCTGATGCCACTCAGGGTCCTGTGCTGAATGCTTGTCCTGCATCCTCATGTTTTAATTCATAAGGACCCTACAAGTGAGGCATTTGCAAACACACAAGGAAACTCGAGTTCAGAGATAACTGCTTATCTTGACCACAGTCACGGTTAAGGATGGGTGGACCCCCATCTGGCCCAGGTGGTCTGACCTGAAACCACTTGTTCTCAGCTGTGTTGGGTTGCTGGGCTAAAATGAATTTTTAAGACAGTTTGGAACTCAGGGTTTGGCCATCCCCATCCCCTGGGGAAGCCCCTTAGGCAAGGAGGAAAGTCCTCCAGCCCAAGGCAAGAGCTCATAAAATTTAGGGGTGCCTTAGATCTTGTGCCACATACTCAAAGGTGCTACTATCAGGACAAGTGAGCAAGACACTAAGCTCATGGGAATAAGGGAAGGACTTTGATGACCCCCGCTGGCATGGCAGCCTAGCCACAACCCCCACCAACTGTAAGATCGAGCCATAATCTAAGTCACTCAGGTCAGCCCCATGGTCATGTATCAAGAATCCCTCTGGTCCCCTCTGTCACCTCTTACCTGCCAGCCTGTAGCACCCCAGAAATGCTGAAGAGCCCGAAATCCGTGATGACCACTTTGCCGTTGTCATAGAAGACATTCTTTGATTTGAGGTCCTTGTGAAGGATGCCCTTCGCGTGGAGGTAGCCCATGCCCTGTAAGATGAGAAGACAGGGACTCATGAGAGGCAGACCCAGCACTTCCTTGTCACCCCTGCTTGGATCCTCAAGGGTGGCCAAGTGGAGGGACCACCCACGGAGCACAGGGGACAAAGGGTATGCAAGTCGCAAGACCACCATCACCCACAGACTCCTGCAAAGCAATCTCCATGGAGCCACTCTACTTCCTGAAATAAAGGAAGAGAAGTGTATTCCAGAGGGAAAGAGTGGGACACCACAAAGGATGAGGAAACCAGAGAAAGGAATCCCACCAGCCATTTCCCCTCAATTCCTTCTTAAAGGGGCCTTGCTCCTCTGTTACTCAGCCCACAGCCCTGAAGAATGACCTGAGATACCCAGGGGACCTTTCAGGACCCCACATCAAGAACACACAGGGAAATCTATCAGCGATTCAGAGATTGTTTTGACTTATTTTTGCCTCGCTAGGCAGTTTATCATGTCTTTATTTACGTCTACAGATCATTCCTGCCACTTCTGATGGGAACTGAAAGCCTGGGTGCAGCCCCCCAATAAGGCACCTGTCGGGAGACTCGGGACGTCTTATCTGATTTCATCTAAGACAACACTCAACAACTCGATGTTTCCCAGGCCACAGAGAGACAGGATGGCTGGGTGCTCATGGGAATTCCAGGACTCCAGTATACCAGTTCCTAATGGCGATGGTTTGAATCTGAAATGTCCCCCACGGGTATATGTTTTGAATGCTTGGTACCTAATCGGTGGTACCATTTTTTTTTTTTTTCAGAAGGTCTTGGGAGGTGGAGCCTGCTGGAGGAAATAGGTCACTGGGGGCAGGCCTTTGGAGGAATGTTATCCCTGCCCATTTCCTGTCTCACTTTCTGCCTCCTGGTCTACTGTGATGTGAACTATTTCTGTCCCATATTCCTGTCATGAACCGGGCTGCTGGGCCTTGCCTTTCCTCTCTTCAGCTGCTTCTAGCAGAGGACCCAGAAGTTTCTGATGCACTACCCAAGAGAACTGAGTGGCTGATCTGTACCCACTGGGCATCGCCTGTATGCAGGTATCATGACCATGAGGTATGAGCCAGAAAACAGAGTTTGAGGCAGTATTTCTAATGTTGCATTTTACAGATCTTTTGTACATACCACCGGGGGCTTTTTTAGACTAAATCTAACGTCATTGAGTTCCAGACTTGTGGTCTAAACCCAGACCCTGGGTCTTAGGATCCTTTGAAGAGACTGCCGGAGGAGGCTGGGTCTTTGTAAGGTCCAGGTAGGGGCCCCAGAACTCACAGTACCTTCACAATTTCTTGTGCGATCTGCCTGGTTTTGTTGACATCCAGGACAATCTTGGCGTCCCTCACCACAGAGTAGAGCGTCCGTCCCTTACAGAGGCTGCAAGGCAAAAGGACGGGGTCAGTCAGGGAAAGGGCTGGCCGTGGTGAGGAAGGTGGCCCACGACAGTCATCAGAAGTCACGAAGAACTGAAAGGATGTGTCACCATGGCACCAGTGTGACCTTAACGGGCCTTGCACCCAACCCCAGAGCTGGTTCTGGGTGACAATCTGCAAAGACGTCTTTGTAGATCCCTTAATAATATCAGACATTTCCTGCCATGTAGACCCCTGCCAGATCCAGCCAGGTCCAGAAGTGTCTGTGGTGGTCGTCAGAATGGCCCCTCATAGAGTGGAATGCTTAGTCACGGGAATGGAGAACTCTTGGAAAGCCTTAGAAGGATTAGGAGGTATGGCCTTGTTTGAGGAAGTACGTCCCGGGAGGTGGGCTTTGAGGTTTCAAAAGTCCATGTCAGGCCCAGCCCCACCCACCCCGTCTCCGCCTATGGATCAGGACGCAGTTCTCAGCGACCACGCCAGTGTCTGCCTGCATGCTGCCATGCTTTCTTCCGTGATGATAATGGACTAAACCTCCGAAACTGGACGCCAGCTCCCAACTAATTGCTTTCTCTGGTAATAGTTGCCTTGGTCATGGTGTCTCTTCAGAGCAATAGAACAGTGGGAAGACAGTGGGCCTGCCATGTCCCTCAACCTAGGGTCTTTCTCTCTCCTCTCTCTCTCTCTCTCTCTCTCTCTCTCTCTCTCTCTCTCTCTCTCTCTCGGCATACAGTGCATGCATGTTTATGTGTGTGTAGGCAGTTGCACATGTGCGTGCACAGGTGCACATCTACTTGTGTGCACACGCATATGGACGTCAAATGACAACTTTGGCTGTCATTTCCCAGGTGCTGGACACTGTTTTTTTGAGATAGGATCTCACTAAGTTGAGGCTCACCTAGTAGACTAGGCTGGCTGGTTGGTGAGTCCCAGGGACCAACCCTTTCCTGCCTCCCTAGCGCTGAGATTGTATGTATCTTTTTTACACGGGTTTCTAGGGGATTGAACGCAGGCCCGCAAGCCTCTAAGGCCAGCACTGAAACAAACGAGTCATATTTCCAGCCTCCCTCGCTCTTTTGGAGACAGACTCTCACCATATAGCTCAGGCTCTCCTGGAACTCATTACATAGGCTGGCCTTGCTCATGGTCCTCCTGCACAGCCTCTTAGCTGCTGGGACTGCAGACCTGTGCCATCATGCCTGGCTCCCATCCAGCATCTCAAAGGAGAGCTGTCACAAACCAATAACTTCTGGGCCCTCAGACACCACTCAGACGGCACTGTCTGCCATCTGTCCCAGCTGGGAGTCCCCGTGTGGGGACGGGGATGAAGGAGCAGTGAAACTGTGGCTGCTGTGCACTGAGCACCATCAGCAAATGGTCTATTGAGCCTTTTCACTGGGGGGCGTGTCAAGAGGACAATGTCACCCAATCAGGCACCTGCCTAGATGGAGGGTGCTCAACCCATTTGCAGCCTCATTGAGTTTACTTCAAGGACTGGTAGTTGAAGATGAATTGACAGGATGAAAGGACATTGTGTGGCAGCAGCGACACCTTTTCACTCTGCAGTCTGCCCGTCCCAACATCTCAACCTTCCTGGTGAGTTTATCTCCTGATGTATACGGAGCAGGTGCTGTGAGGAGTCACCCAAGGAATGAGTGAAGTGAATGAAGGAAGAAATGAGTTCTGTATTCACTAGAGCGTCCCCAGTCCCCAGAAGCCAGCATTGCCTAAAAGAAGTATGGAAGTCATTATGGTAATTAATTTTCCATCTCTATAAAATTAACAGCTTGAATGCCTTTCTTTTCATTTATAGCTTTATTGCTAAAGTACTCTGGGCATGAAGTTTGCTCAAATTCTTCCTCTGGTGTTTGCTCAGGCTTTGTTTCAGGCTGGACTTGTATTCCTGGTAGAAGTAAGGGTACTGGTATGAGGACTCTCAGTTCAAATCTGACTCTGCGTCTTGCTAACTGAAATGTCTTGGAATAGGTCACTCAGTCTCTCTGGACTAGAGCGTCCTCATGTACCAGAGCAAACCTACTTTGTAGATGAATATACAGACTGAAGGAGATAGAGTCCCTCCTGGTGTCTGGCATCTGAAGGGAAGTTCAACCCCACTGGTTAGGGGACAATAGTCACACCCTATGGAATCAGGCTTCTGATCTGTCCCATAGTAGCCATATGACCCTGAGACCTCCCGACACGTAAGTTAGCTTCTGCATCATAAAATGGGGGCGACACTTCCTGCTTCATCAGGATTCGGGTATGTAAAAATGTAGGCACTGCTCCCTGTACAACACATCGTGGGTCCTCATGGCCTTTACAATCATGTGTGCAAATGGAGAAATGGTGTATTTGTCTGTGGATCACTTCTGCCTGCCCATCTGCCTGCCAACCTGTCTCTCTAGTGTGCCCATCTGTCTGTCCGTCCACCCATCCATCCACTCACCATCCCAAACGCTACCTAGAGGCATGACCTCCGATGAAGATTCCTTTCTTCACCTGCCCAGGGCAAGGTTTCAAGAGCCGCTGACTCACAGGCGGTTTGGTTCTCACTCGGCCAAGGTCGCCCGGCTCATCGGCAGGAGGCAGTCTAAGATGATTCAAGGCTGGCCCCCTCTTTGCGGCACCGCGGCAAGTTTGCCGAGCCTCTGCGGCTAGAGGTGGAGGAAGGGCGGGCCGAGCAGCCAATTTTGCTCTGTTGACATTTAAGTATCAGAGATGGAAGACTGTGGGTGGATTCCCTCCCCTGGATACCTCGTTCTCCAGCGGCCACCTACACTCATTACAGACCAGAGCTCTCCCTGATGCACACAGAAGAGCAAATAATTGCACCAACCTCCAAGACTCCCAGCATCCACAGCTCAGGGGGACCATATGAAACCCTGTCTTTGTTCCTGCTCCTTCCTGGCCACCATGGACAGCGTCTGCTTCCTGTCTTCACGACGTTAAGTAAACGGGGCTGCTGAGCAAGTAGCAGTACTGGCCAGCGTGGACGCCGGTGCAGCCATGATTTGGCTCCTCTACAAATGCCTAATATGCAGATGATGCCTGGATACACGCCCAGCAGACACACATGCCCACATTTACCTTCAAATACGAACCACAACATCATAAAATTCTAATAGCAATGCTTCTACCTTTGCCCCAGACTGGGAGCAATCTGTCAGGGCCTAAAAAACTGTGGCCTTTATACAGTTCTTACAATGATACCCTTGACCCCCAACGTGTGATCCAACAGAGGTGAGGGGATGATGGGAGAGGACCCTTAGGGAAGTTTCCCCAGAGAGTTCGTGACTTCACACCGTGCAAGAACATAGTGTGAAGGTGGCAGTCTGAAACATGGGGAGTGAGTCCTTGCCAAAGTGGGGGCCTGCACTGGCCTCTTAGTCTCAGACTTTGGCTTCCAGATAGATGACAGAGTTTCTGTTTTTTATAAGCTACCTGGTCCACAGCATTTGGTTATAGCAGCGGGAGCTATGAAACAACCGTGTTCATCAGCAGACACCGGGGACACTACGAAGGAGCCACACGACAAAACATAGTCACACCACACTGTGTAAAATAAGCAGACAGCAGAAAGCAGGATAAAGCTCACAGGGTGGGAGCCAGCCTCAGGAGACGGCTGGAAGATTCTACCACTGGCCTGTGTGCTAGAAGCCAGCAGAGTGATGCCAGTGTGTGTGTGTGTGTGTGTGTGTGTGTGTGTGTGTGTGTGTGTGTGTGTGTGTGTGTGTGTGTTTTGTCTGTCTGTATGTCTGTGTGCATATCTGTCTCTGCATGTGTGCATGCGTGCATACGTGTGTGTGTGTGTGTATGTGTGTATGTGTCTGAGTGTGTTTGTCTGTATGTCTGTGTGCATATCTGTCTCTGCATGTGTGCATGTGTACATACGTGTGTGTGTGTGTATGTGTGTATGTGTCTGAGTGTGTTTGTCTGTATGTCTCTGTGCATATCTGTCTCTGCATGTGTGTGTGTGTCTGTGCGCACGTGTGTGCATGCGTGCATACGTGTGTGTGTGTGTGTGTGTGTGTGTGTGTGTGTGTGTGTGTGTGTGTGTGTGTATGAACATCAGGGGCTGGGGCCGGCTTGGCTCCACATTTGTCTCTGGGAGCAGATAACACAGACAGCCACTGTGTTGTGCCCTGATGAGACGGATACCTTGGCAGGTACGTCATCACTTGAAAAAAAAAAAAAACTTTAAAAATACGTGAGGGAAATTGGGGAGACGGCTAAGTAGGTAAAATGTTTGCCTTGTAAACTCAAGGACCCAAGTTTGATTCCCCAGAACCCACCCTTGTAATGCTGGTGCTGGGGAGGCAGAGACAAGCAGGCTCCTGAGCTTGCTGGCCAGACAGACCAGTCTAATGGAGGAGGCACAAGCCAATGAGAGACCCTGTCTCCAAAGAACCAAGGTGGACAGCTCCGACCCAAATTGACCGCTGGGATGGCTGAGGTGAGAAAATCCAGTCAGCTCCAATGTCTACGGAAGCGGCTGGCTCTGAGGCCCTAACAGCTGCTTCTGGGGTAGGAAGTGAGGACGGGAGGGAGAAGAGGTGAGTTCGTTGACTGCATCCTCGGGACGATTGTGACCTCTCTGAATCCTCCCAGACCTGCGAGGTCTGTCTCTGTCACCTTCCTGCTTTACAGGACCAGATGCTGAGATCCAGGGTGGGAGCGCAAACACAGCCATGATGTCAACACACACACAGGAAAGACCCACTCCCACGTACCGCTGAGGTGTCAACACACACGTAAACGTCTCCCAGCTTTTCTCCCACTGAGTGAGTGCACCGTCACCAGAAGTGTTTCGCAGCCATGCGAAGGGTGGGGCATCTGGAGGGCAAAAGATATCAGCTGACCCTAAATCTCTACGGTCATTTACAGCCAGCTTCGTGACACCTGAAGGGACAGAAGCCACAGTATCCTCATCGGTAAGATGGAGTTAACACCAAGGCTGAGGGCCTTCGATGCAGCCAGCGTCTGCCATGGTAGGAGGGGCGGTGT